GATAATGTCTTCACGCACTATTTAACAAATTCTACCAGACATATTATACAAATGATAAACAATGGTTGCTAAAAGTTATTACTATTGAAATAATTATATTAAACGTCGATATGAGCATTCTTCGATTTAAAAAGTCAAGTTTATTTATTATTTACTTTAACAGTAGATTTAATTGACGTAATGAAAAACATGTTTTTCAAAATTTTATAACTCCTAATATATCAAGTTATTTGAATTTCAGTGTAAAAACATGAATTAAAGTGTGTAGAAAAAATGAAATCCACTCAGCCACGCAAGAATTGTTTTAAGCTATACATTAATAACCCAATATTACATATATACAGCCAATATTACATATATACAGGGTAATGACTACAATGAAAATTGTTGAATCGGCAACTGTTACAGATAAATGAATATCATTAGAAGCAATTGAAGCAAGATTAGGAAAATTGTTTGGTAGAACATCTTTTTATATTTCATGTTATATATAACATTCAATTATCATAATTATTGTCATTCCATTCTTTCTTAAATAATGTTTATATAAATTCAATAAATAAATGTTTTATGAAAAATAAAATGCAAATTGTCATAAAATTCACTAATTATCATTATAATAGTTGTTATATTCCGATGCCAATTTGATAAAACACAGATTTTAATGGTAAATATCATTTTGCTTGTGAAACCAAAAGACAGAAAGTAATAAATCACTTCTAAAGCATAAATAAATAATGACTTTTTAACGAGAAAGTAGCCTGCAAAAATAAATCATTGCTTTGAATAATAGTGACGGTCATCGTAAAATTGAATGATTTACTTGGGGACCATACGCATTCTTTTACTTGGGGATCATACGTCGCTTTTCATGGAATACCACTACTGTGTCACATCTGCGGATGTCTCTTAATTCAAAATTTTACCATTTTTCGTATTTAAATGTATTTAAGGGGGGGGGGGGTGGACGGTAACTTGCACTTTCCAGTACCGTCCATGAACAGGCTCATTCAAACCGAGCCTGCAACATTTTCAATTTTGTCGTGTTGGGCTTTCTTTAGGGATTCTGTATTTCTCTATTTTAATTAAAACATATATGAAAAAATAATTTTGAACAATTCACGCCGTAATGTGAACTTTTTCAATTATGGAATTTTTAAGTGAAAAATATCATAATTTCTAAACTGATTAAAGGCAGAAAGCACGTACAGTGATTAAAAATATAATTTCTATGAAACTGCTTTTGCAAATCGGTGTAAGTGTTCTTGATTTTTATACGTTTGTTTTATTTTTTTCTTCACTGATAACGACTCTTAAAGTGTGAAACGCATCTGCTTTGTTTCCGCCATTTAAAAGTATCGGCACCATTACAGAGATCATTTTTATAGTGATCTTAACAGAGTGAAAATTTCAACTTTTTTTAACTATACCGACAGCTTTTTGAGCAGCTCCCCGTTGTTACATCTTATATCAGGGCATAAAGGTGATTAAATGGGGTGATTAAATGACAATAAGTAAATAGTGATTGTCGAGACAGGTCAAAGAGAGGCCGATGACCACACGTTTCCTGCAATTTGTCTGGAAATTTCCCGGCATAGCGTGATATCCTGCCTGCAGTTAGCCACGGAAGGTCTAGCACTAGACGTATGCACGGACAGATGTTATTTCTTATGTCGACTTGGTGTCGTTACTTACCGACAAATCAAAAAACCCAGTAATGTACAAATTGACTAATTTGTAAGGTAACACTACATTTCATTGAACCTAATATAATTTGGCTAAAAGGTATAGAGCTTGTGGCTTTATTTTAACACGTTACAAATGTTTCTGTTTATCCGGAGCCTCATTGCCGCCTGTAACAACGACACTATGAGTAAATTAAATTTTTACAGCATTTGTCTCACCTGATTCCTGGCAAAGATACTTTTGGCCATTCTAGAACAATTACTCATCATATAATCTGGTATGACTTAATCATTAAAAAAATACATCTCTGTCTCTATTTAGCTGTCGAAGACGACATGCTAAAGTTGTACATTCTCATTTGTTTTTTAAGCAAGAGCCAAAACTCTATTTGTATAGCTTGCAATGATTATTTCACTGCTAGGGGACCTCCGTGGCCGAGTGGTTAAGGTCGCTGACTTGAGATCACAGGTCCCTCGCCGAGGTTCGATCCTCACTCGGGTCGAAATCTTTCATGTGAGGAAGCCATCCAGCTGGCTTATGGAAGGTGGGTAATTCTAGCCAGGTTACCACTCGTGCATGAAATAATGCCCGGAGGGGCACCTCGGGTCTTCCTCCACCAATAAAGCTGGAAAAAATCGACGAAAAAATCTCGGCGGGACGCTCTAGGATTGCCGACTTGAGTGTACGGTTGCTCATATGGGCTTTCCTGTGGTGACCTTAAATAAACGCATTTAAAAAAAAATTTCACTGCTAACCATTTCCTTCTTGTAATAATGATTTTTAACAGGTGATATTAAAATATTATAAATTTAAATTAGAGAACTAAGTGAACTTTTCCCCACCATTCAAAAGAAAACGTGTGCGATTATTGAAACCAAATCAATGTTATTCTACAATTTATTAAATTGCTATGGCTTAATTATTATTTGATATAATATGATAACTAATTGTGTCATGATTAAAAATCAACATCAACAAACTAATAGCTCATATGATTTAAAGCAGAGAAACGTTTGATATTATAAACCTTTATTTGTTTTCTTTCATCTGGAATATTTGTTACACGGTACTGGTACTTACAATTTTGTTTCGCTTATAACACGTCCCTCCCCTCCTCCCGCCGCCCTTGTGTCATCTCTCGTTTTGAGTTCAGAACCTCTGGGGTGTGATGCTTGTGTGGCTGAGTTGTTTCGAGGATGGCGTGCTGTGAACGTTGCTTTGAATTGTTGATCTTTGTTAACATTTCCCCTTGAATCGGTAAATGCTTGTATATGTGTTATTAAATGTTCATGGGGGGAATCTGTATACTTCATGCCATGTTTCCTTTATTTATTAATCTTCTTTAAAAGAACAATTTGTCGCGTATATGTTTACTTTGCATGTGGAAAGAGTAAAGTTAATCAAGAATGTTATGAACGCAAATAACTATACGGGTTGATTTAAAAATCAATGATTGGCACCTGACACGATCACATCTATAAGACTGGCGATGAAATCTTATTGGAAATCATTTGTATCTAAGATGAATAGTTTTGAAAAGAACTTTTTCTTATTAAGTCTATGACAATAAATCGATTCCTTTTATTTGCCTGGCAGAGTTCGTTTATTGCACAATATCAAACATGTGGAATGTATCTAATTATGAAAATCGACAGATCATCACCTTTTTCTAGGCAATGCTGCATTCAATCTTAAGAATAAATATATAAAAATCAATGATTTGGAAGCACGAAGAAATTAGTCTGATATAAAGGGACAAGTTATCACAGCAGCCGCTCTTAATACAAATTGCTATGAAAATATAACATATGAAATAGAACAACACTGCAGTGAGTGAAAAAGGAAAACTCGTAATAGATTTTATCCAATTGGATAAGCATGTTGGCCTGTTCTGTTTTTTTTTCAAGATGTGTATGTTTGCTTTAACAAGATACTGTTAAAATATAAGTGTAATGTTTCACTTAATGTCGATCATATTGCGATTGGAATCTATAATTTAAATATCGTGTAAAAAACGACGTATATACCGTATATAGGGATATATCATTTTGATTTAGTTCTAAAGACAAATTCCTTATAAGAGTACTAAAGTTATCTCCATGCTTGTAAGGCGTATATTTATCAAAATTAGTGCCAGCGTGATCAAGTCTTTAACACATCGGACTAGCAATCTTAAAATTGTTATCCGCGTGTGTTCAAACCATGTTATGAAGGGGATTAGCAGTTGTCGAGAAATGGTTCCTAGAACGGATTCAAGAGGGATTTTATAAGCGTATAGTTCACAACACAATAGAACCTAAATAAATTATGTATAAACTAACAAAATTAATTATAGAAATATTAAATCAAAATATATAATATGCATGGATCTCGCATACTTAGGCTTTTCTCGTAGAACCTTCCAAAAGGATATGGCAACATAGCCACTTTAAGATGATGATTTTACATAAATTGTAAAAAAATCCTTCTGAAAAAATGGGTTTACAATTGAACGGTTTGATAATAGTTTATATGCAGTCCATATTGAGTTATATTCCACGCAAGTGTTGTTTCATTTCACGGAATAATACCAATTGATATTCTACTTGTTGAGATATCATTGGTTAAGACTTTTATCTCACACGTAGTTTGGCTGAGGTATAATATCTTAAAGGTTGTTTTAAATTTTCTCGTTCCTATATGCCAGAGTATATATTATTCATCTTTGAAAATTTAATATTGTTTCAAAACTTAGCATAGTACAACTGAAAAGAAAAGATGATTAAGTGTAATAAAAACAATAATGGCTACGTGTTGTAACAATTACCTTGTAAAAAATAATAAAATATTTTACACTGACTAATACAACCTTTTAACGAATGTGTGTGTATTTTATAGGTTACTTAGTATATAGATCGTAACTTTCATAGAAATAACAAATATGTAGATAATATGCAATTATTCAAGATAATGTCCTGAATGAGATGTTTATTTCTTATTTTTAGCATTGTCAGACATTTATAGTTATGTTGTGTATGTTAAGTGGAATCAGATAAAGACAAGGAACAAATTATATCACTTAACGACCTTCATTTCCGTAAATCTTCTTTGTATAAAAATACAGCTCACATAATATGTTCTTTATTGAGTCAATGCAAGATGAAAGTTAACTATCTGTTTCTCTTCATAAAAACATATTTTTTTCTCATAGAAAAGCCAAATGTAGTTTTCTACAAATAAGACTTTTCTTTCGGTTGAACGTATATGATTAGAAATTAAGGTTTTAATGTGATACCCCCACCACCAGTTGACCTCCTAATGCATACGATTTGATTTCCCCTTTTAACGAGCTTGCCATCCTATTTATATTCCACAATGTGTTCATTTTTGTATAATTGGCTGCTTTAAACAAAATTTTCAGGATTCGGCAATTTTCCTTGGTCTCCGGGATTGATTCTAATAATAGTAATGTTTAAAGGTCTAATTCGGTTGTTGTACTTAACGTTTACCTGACTAAAAGGCCTCACTCACACCGATTTTGTTTACTTAATTATTTCTGTTTTCGTTGCTCCCCTCTTCCTGAATGGAATAATTAATTCATTGAATTCGACTGTACATCATAGTTTATTTAGAAATCATTTTAAGACATAGGACGCATGCTAGATAAGGAACATGCTTTGAGCATATCTTGCTTGTGTTGAATGACATTTATTTTTACTAAACTGTATCAAACATTTATGCGGATGCTCTTACTTAACCGTTCACAAAATCTATTTGTATCTTAGAATAAAATCTACAAAATGAGTAGTAATTACTGCAAGCAACACAATCTCTTCTACAAATACAATTCACACATTGACATCAAAACATCATATTGAATGAGGAAACTATTTCTGTATAAGTTATTGCTCCCAGCAAATTACCATTCATTCAGATTAATCAACTGTCAAATGGTTTTCTTTTTTGTAGATTTATAAAGAAGATAAACAATTGTTAGTTTATTTCGGATTGTACTGTTTTCATGAATTATTAAAATATGATTTTATTTATACCTTAACAAGTTATTTGGTTAAGGGAAACACAATATAATCTGAGACGGTATTTTGAAATATATAAATTAAATTATAGCTAACATTTAATAACTGTTCTAATACTGGCTAATTGTACTCGTGTTTTTAATTTGAATTTCGTCTGGGACTTTTTAATTGTGCGGAAGCCTTGCAGTAAGCAAAATATGTAAAGTCGGTGATTCTGTCCGCAATTATTCCAGAAATAATTTACGGATTGGCACCCGAGGACTGCTTAAGCTAGAAAGTCGCCATTTGATATTGACGATATCGCCTTTAAACCTAAAACAAAGTCCAAATGTCAATATGAAACATTGCTAAAAACCAACTTGTAAGAACTGCGTAGAGCAGCAGAAGATACTTTAGAAACTAATAGATAGTTCTTTCATTATCTGAATGAAGATTAAGCACAGACCATTCGTTTCTGTTATTAATATTATCAATATTATTTAAAGGAAAATGCTAATTCAAGTTTTATCATATTTGATGAAATATAAGTTTGCTTATGTCCTTGTATGTGGTGTGTTATTGTTCATAACGTCTTTATAAAATTTGCACATCATGTGTATTTGATAAACAAGATATAGGACGTTTTCAAAGTTCTATCTTTTTCAGAATAAATTGCCTTCCTTTAAGCATTGGGCAAACCCTGAATTCAGCAAGAAACATTTCGAATGGTATTTTGTATTGATTCATCAAGAACGGATCTAATGTAGATCTGCTAAATAAAAACATTTCAATACTAACACTTTAAGAATATTTTACAAGAAATGACAATTACATAAATAATATAAATAGACTACTATAAAATTGAGATAATATTTCAAAATGTAAAATTTCACTCAATGTTACACAAATTCGCCGATTGCATCTGAGTTCAGAGATAATTTGTTACGTTTTAAAGCAACTCCACCATTTAAACTGTTATCTACATATGAATTCTTAGATCTGACCACATATTTTGTTTTTAAACTTTCATTACATTGGCCAAAAGCTGAACCGTTTGCAACAATTTCAAAAGTTTCACTTGGTGTTTTTCCATTGCAAGACCGTTCCCCGTTACAAATACTATTTTCGGGACACGGCGTCTTTCCTTTACAACGAGAACAAAACTCATCTACTAAGCAAAGAGGTGGAATGTCAGCTAAATTTGTGCATTGCAAGTGAATATAACCTTCTTCATTTGTAGTTTTAGCACACTTAGACGCATGTTTCTTCTCAGCTTGTATTAATTCATGTGGATTAAATCCCCCTTTATATGAACGAACACGAGCTATGCCGTCCAATGGGATACAGTCATTTCTTACTTCACACTTGTCTCCTTTAGCTAAATTTACATTAATCCCATAATGTTGGCACTTCTGATAAATAAAAGCTTCTTTATTGTCATGTTGTATCTGTTGTTCTTCTATTTTGTTTATATATTTATTGCTCCGCCGTAAAGATCCTTTTAGACTACTATGTTTCCGTTTTAAAGATGTTCCACCATTTGTGTGTCTGTGTGAGCTATAAGAATGTCGGTTTTTACTATGGCATATGGTTTCCAGAAACGCAAGTCGGTAACGCTTTGACATCACATTATATAAGATAGGGTTTACTGTTGAGCCGACAAAATATAATACACCTGCAAATATATAATTGGTCAACATAATGTATAAATTAATGTTTTATTACTGCTAAATATTTACATTGAATGTTTAACATAAATACCAAAAATAAATACTGTTATACTTCTTGCTAATCGAACAGAAAATTTGTTACTTTCAGTTATAACATGACCGCCACTTTCATTAAAACAGTTCATCTGGAATAAAATTAAACATTCATATATAGTAATTAGATTAATCATGTATTTAAAGTTCTTTTATTTAAATTAAACATACACGATCCTATTCTTATATAAGTTTAATAACTTTGATAACTTTGTCTGCTCTTCATGTATCTTTGTTTAAGTTTACAATTGTTCAAATGATTTCTATTTTCTTAATTCAATATACAATGATTTTATCTTGTCCTCAGAATCAGCGATGAGAGAAAAATGCCCATTAGCCTCGCTGATCAATTGACACAGAGAAGTAACCCCTGGCCCGAGGGCAAACTCTTGGTTTACTTATCTGATGTTCTTCCTCTGAGATTAGCGGACGCGGGTAATATGATGGCTATATAATATTGAACAGCAAATATCTAATTACCTGATACATAGAATAGTGAGCTTTGGACGTCAAACAGCAATGGTGTCCAGTGTCTGTTATAAATTGTAAGCAATCTTTGAGCGTGAAATGGCGCCCAGCAGACAAAAAACGCCACCACGACAGCAACTAGAATGAATTGATTTAGACATGGTAATTTTTTTTAATTAATAAATGTGTGTGATATATTCCTGTAAAAAGACAGATGGTAAATAACAATACAAATAAAAAGATTTTATAACTATTGACAGCATGGGAATACTTGTGGTTTATAAATAAATTTAATGTCATAATTTATTGAATGTTTCATGTATTTCAAGTTTCCTTCACGTCAGTATTGAATTTCTTGTGACGTGTAAAGTAAAATGCAATAAAATTTAATTCATTTAATTCACAATAAAGATTTCTAAACGAATAAAACGAAATGTAAAATACTTTGCGGACTTTCCAAATGATCTCCTGTATTTTATCATTACTATTTCTGTCTAAAGAAGACATTTCAAGATTCCAAAAAAATAATTATTTACCAACGTTTCATTAACAGGTTTGTCATTTTGATATTTTCATGATTTTCAGGGATAATAAAATTAAACAAATTATATTTAGATAATTCTCGTTATTGCTGATATTAAGTGATTTCGTAATTGTATGCTGCATATCAATTTGTATGAGTGTTTAAAGCCATGATTAATTGCATGTAATCGTATAATAGTAACAAATTAAACTGATAAATAAACAGCAAATTAATCTTCTTAATATCAATAATAACAAAACGATTACTTTTTTAAAAACCGATTGTTCAACATAACGTCTAATGAAATAATTGTAGATTTTAAATTGGAGGTTAGAAGAAATGTTAGCATAATAAGGGCATACAAACAGCATATTATCTTACCAAGAACCTTGAGTACACTTCTCCTTGCTATGAAGGTTGGACTTCTTTCATGTTGACCTTGGCTATTATGTCGACAACTAGCTGAACGACGTTTATGTGATGGTTCCCTACTGAGGTCCGCCTTACGCAGCGTACATCCAATCAGGCTGTACAACACAACGATAACAGTTAATGGAAATACAAAGAAAACAAATGTAGACAGTTGAAAGAAGTGTGCCATCCGCTCGTCATATTTCGGAGGTATATTACACTGTAGGGAATCCTGAATGGGTTTTCCAGTATCATCGTGAACGTAATAAAATAAATCTGTATGAATTGGATATGGTAATGCACAGCACAGGGAAATTATCCATATTCCAATTATTATCTTTATACATCGTGAGAATGCAACAATTTTATGTGATTTCAGGGGCATGCAAATAGCAATATAACGTTCTATTGTAAATGCCGTGATAGTCAAGACAGATGCGTATGAGGTCATTTCAGCAAACAAAGCTTTTATGATACAAAATGCCTTTCCAAATCTCCAGGGATATGATTCCCATATTGAATATGCTTCTGGTGGTAACCCTGAAAGTAGAAATGAAATATATTCATATCAATTAATATATATATTGTATTGTGCAGAATCCTCGTTACGAAATCTTGCCACTGTATAGAAACACATACAAATAAAAAATAAAGAAGACTAAAACCTCATTATGGTCTTACGAAACATTGTCTTTGTATTCAAACACATACAACAAGAAAACAAGACTTATGAGGCGAATCATATTAAATCAAGATTGTTTCAAGATAAAGCAAAGTAGGTAACTAATCTTGAAAGGAATTTTTGTTTCTATTATTGCCATTTTTATTTGTAGGCCTTATCATAGATAACTTATTTACACGTATTCGTTAATGAATTGATTATTTTACTACCCCTCTATTTGTAGTGAAATATATGTTCAAATAGGATGTATCAAAATAGTGATCTGTTATAATTTTGTTTTTATAAAAACACAATATTTTTACATAGGAAAAGAACACAAATGCTTTTTAATTTTGCACACGCGTTATTGGTCCGTTTATAAAATGATACATAGATAAAAACAATCACCATCAGTCATGTCAAACAACCTGAGACTAGTTTCTTTAGAGAGTATAAAGGTATATCTAATTAATATTTTGTTTTATCGCATTTTAAAAACAATACAACTATGTTATTATATTAGATTTAATGCTAATAGGTGCAGTTTTATTTTGTGTCCGCAACAAACGAAGAAGTTATATGTGATATTTCGAAAATAAATCACATAAAAGACGTAATAAAATAAAGGTCAATTTAAATACCTAATTTTATTTTAATTATATGAAGTAAAAAGCTTCAATAGCTTCAATATTTGTATATATACATTTCCAAATTACAAAAGCAAGACGTCGAATGACATAGTGACGTTTGTTTAATATGAAATATCCCAGCAATTAAAACAACATTTTTTTTGGATTCTTACATTGCTCACTCCTATTATTTAAGTTGCGAAAGATAATAGAAAAATAAACTATAAAAGCGCTAAACGTTTTAATACAAATCAGGTAAGAAATTGCACAAAACATGATTTTTAATTCATTTTAGTACATGTCTTTATATCGTCATACTGTTTTATTTTAAATCTGTTCTATAGACGACGTCAAATTATATTTATTGTTTTTTGCCGATGATGCTGTCATTTTTGCAGAAACACCACATGCATTACAGTCAATACTTAATGACTTACAATTATACTGCGGTCTGTGGGATTTAAGAGTAAATACATCTAAAACAAAAATAATGATTTTCGAAAAAAGACGAAAAACAACGCATTCTTTCATTTTTAATAACGTAGTGTTAGAAATCGTGGATTCGTTCAAATACTTAGGAATAACCCTATTTAAAAACGGCAACTGGAATAGAACACAAAAACACATAGCAAAACACTCTCTATATGCACTTCATAATTTATTTATCATTTATAACCAATTAAATCTCAATACAAAAGAAAAATGTAACTTTTTCGGTAGTCTTGTAGGATCAATTTTGAGTTATGGCTCAGAAATATTTGGATACCATAATGCAAATGATATAGAAGTGATTCATAATAATTTCATGCGAAAAATATTACACGTTCGTAAAAGTACAAATCTTGTTGCATTATATGGTGAACTAGGAAGGTATCCTATGATGATACAGCGTAAAATAAATTTAATAAGATTTTGGATACGAATAGTAAAATCAGATGATAATACATTACTTAAAATGACATACAATATGCTTAAAGATGATTTTAATGATGGTAATAACTATAATGGTCTTAATTGGGTCGGACATGTTCAACAAATTTTCGATGAAATAGGTATGTCAAACATTTGGCTATCCCAAAATGCTGACATCGTATCTATACAAACTATTAAACAAAGAATAATTGATATATATAAACAATCATGGGATGCTGAAATTAGAACTTCAAATAGATTACAGTCATATAGCTGGTATAAGAAAGAATTAAAAGTAGAACGATATTAAGATGTAATACCAAATAGTAAATTTGAAATAGCACTGACAAGATTCCGACTATCATCCCATGATTTAATGATTGAAAAAGAAAGACATTTAAATATTTCCAGAAATGAAAGAATATGTTCAAATTGCAATATGAATGTTATAGAAAACGAGTACCACTTTCTTTATATATGCCAAACATATACTTACTTAAGAAAAACCTACTTCAATCCATATTTTTGCCATTGGCCTACTAAGCAAAAATTTATCTCACTTATGAATGTAGACTCTGTTAAAAGTATTTTGAATGTCAGCAAATTTATATACAAAGCTTTCCATATGCAATAATTCTTCTTTATTCCAAAACGAATTTCATTATCATAACCTGATGTTCACTGCTTTGTTTTCTTTTTATCTTTTGTAAGTATTTTAAGTTAATGTAAACACAATGAAATGGATCTCCATATTTGAATTGTTTTACAAAAATGTATTCAATTAACACAAATGTTGCTCGTAACAAGAGAAAAATATTCTTTGTAATATGTTTTACTATAGAAATAACACAACAGATAAATGATAATAATGATGAGAAATATTGTTAAGGAAAGACTTTATAAATCAATTATGCTCACTCTGTTAAAAAACAATAATTTAAGATTAATTTGTACAAATCATTTGTATATAATTCTCTGTTAACCATGTACTTGCCCTAATATGTTTGTATTATATATTGAAATGGCTATAAATGTTGTAACATTTAATGATGAATAAATATTATGTTATGTTACTTTTTATTGTAAATGCACTTGCTGATCTCTTTAAGAAATTCAATGTTTCATGTTTTTAAGCTTTTAATCCTTCAGTGGAGTTCATGAAAGTACCCTGCTAATGTCGCATTGAAAATATACAATTTGGTTTAACCTTCATCGTGCTGATTATATCAGAACTTTTCTGAAACATGTTGTCAACTTTATAAAATTGTTGACATTTAATCTCCTAATATTTCTAATGCTCTTTAATGTCGCACCTATTTGCAAATTCCGCCTACACTACAACTATAAAACACATTATCAGAGATGTTGATAAAATAATGTATATTTAATTCACGAATATAAAATGTACTTATTGAATTAGATTCAATATTGTTTTAACTCAGTAGCACATCGAACATGTACAGAAAGTAATGTGTGTTATTTGTTTTTTTTATCAAGAAATATGATCCAGTCTTTAAATGTGAAAATTTGCTGAAACAATTCCGGGATGCAGTTTTCCCTTTCGCTGATAAAGATACTTTATTTTAAGAATGAGAGACCAAAGACTGCATATTAATGGAACTGCAAGACAATTCCTAATTAAAAACACTGTGGCACCATTATATTGACAATGTCGTTTTATGTTACACTTGCCACTACATGTCGGAACAAAACTAAATGCCTCACGGTTTCCTCTCACCTTTCAATGTCGTAGCACTACTGTCGATAACAATTGTGTAACATAACAATTGTGACATAAAAACCTATGCATTTCAAAAAGACGTGGCAATAATTTCATTTAACTGAAGTATTTATTGGAAAAAATGAAACAACAACTTACGTATGTTTTATTTATTTATTTATTTGTTATTTTGTGCTTTACATTTTGGGTAAAAAATTTTGTCTGACAAATATAAAATTTGTAAAAAACTAGGTTTGCGACATTTCGTGTAAAAATACAGCAAGGAACGGTAAAGATTTATGCATTATTTTAAGGTTTACAAATTTTAGAATATGGAATATTCTTGTTTTTAAAGGCACATTATGTCCCAAAAAGTAATTATCTTTTTTACTTGTTTAGAAAGGGCAAACACGAATTTTATAATGTTTAAATAGTAGTATTACAGAAATATTAGACAGTTGTTACCTGAAAAAAGTAAGAATGAATGTGAAACAATTTGTCATAAATGTGGAAAATTGTAAAGAAAGTAATATTTTGACTTTCATACAAAAATACAAAGTAACTATAATTGTACTAATTGCCAAACAGGAATAGATGATAAAGTTTCCTTTTAAAAGGAAAGGCTTGCTCAGTTGTGCCTTCATCCCAACCCTTTAAAATAGTTTTTTTTTTGTTTCAATTTATTATCACAATTTTTTTTGAATTACGGTATTTGTATATCATAAAGGGTTTATTTAGTTTTTATTTTGTAAAAACCAATATTTTTGTCAAAACGATTTGAAATCTATTCTCTATTGTATAAACTAATAAAAGAAAATAATCAATCGTAAAAATACTAACTATCATACTGACGGGAAACAAGTGTGCACATTTAATTTCCACTTTTTTCGCAGAGAAATCATTCGTTTTGGCAGTTGCTAATTTCATTAATATAGCAGCTTTATAGACAAGTAAATGCAATAAAATACTTCGTTACGTGGTACCAATTAATAAGCATGTATCAACTATGTTACACGATCACAGATACGATGCGATATCTGTAGATCAGCACGTGGTAAGGTTAATGATATGCATGGGCTATTTTTAGATTACCTCACCGCGTTCAGTAGATCTAAATATAACTCGATCATGCACTAATATTCTGTATGATTTTTGTAAGCAGGACCACCCTTTGGAGGCGGAATACTACTACAGTAACCATTCTCTATTGTATACAAAAAACAATTATAAAAGAAACTAACTTTTGCGTCTTGAAAAAGAATTGAAACGGAACAATTTCGTTTATAATTTATTACGGTTTAAACCGATAAATCAAGTAAAAATAGAAATCCTATTTATATAACCGAAGTAACTAAAATAGCTTAGATTTCCGTAATATTACTTCGTCTGATTCCGCAGTATGACGGAATCGCCCGAATTGTCACGATTGCAATCGGAACTACATCGGCTATTATCATTAATCCGAAAAGTGACGGAAAGGGCCGAAAAGTTGCGATTGGCATGATTGCAGCTGGTTTCCCGTTCAATCATGCACTAACAAATGTTAGCAGGAACCACCTTACCGGAACAACTTTTCCAAAACAGATGGCAAGCCAAAAAACATGGTTCCGCTAATAAGTCAATGAGTAGCTTTTTGATACTGTAAAAGTACACCAAAAATAGAAAGCTTTAAAGTAATAAAAATGAAAGCATTTGTGAAGCATAATGGGCCTTGAAAGAACAAACGTAAAAGAGCTGAATGAAAACAATGCTATCAAATATTGATTTTTGTATGTCAACAGACGATAATTGAAATAAATATCTTTATTAACTGACGAAGTACTGTAAATTATCATGACTGTGTTAAATATATTTTCATCATTTTAATAAGTAACTACATGCCCATATAAGTGACAAAAAGTTGTTATTCGGAACACGGCAAAAGTGGAGGTTTTCCACATCTTTATCCCGGGCTACAAGAAAACGTTCAAAGTTAGGCATTGTAGCTTCACGGTACACTACCAATCACAATATAGTGACGGGTTGCGCTTAAATTATTAACGATTCATTTACCAAGCTGTAACTATAAAGGTTGCTTGTATCCCGGAATAAGCTTGGAAAACCCCACATTTGCCGAATTCCGGAGTATCTATAATATCAAATTGTTCAGAATATACACATGGTCATGATATGTGTTTAAGGATAGTAGACTGGCCGTATTGTCTTAAAACAGTGACTTTTTAAAGCTGAAATATATTATGACAACTTTGTAATGGATTATATAAAATGAACAATATACAAAGTTTACACAGTAATTAGATTGCGTGTTCATTCACCTTATCCCTCATTCTTATACGTGGCAGTAGCATTGGTTTATGATACAAGTATGTTCCCTGCTCCAGATTATGGCACATATCTCAGGTATATGACGTATGTTTATTATGACACCATGTCAGATGTTGATATATTATAATAGTAGGTAAATTCTGTGATTCGTGGGATACTTCTGATACAAGGCAAAACTAATATGACTTTATCTGCTTCTAAACAATTATTTGAGACATTGCAATATATGTGTAAATGTAATGTTTCTAACTATTCAGTATGATTAAGACAGTCAATGATTTTTATGTTCCAATAATTATGTATGCTAACATATCTAATTACATTTATTCATTATACAATACAGCATATATCACTGTGAAAAACATGTACATATCTAAAAATCATTATTTGTATTGTAAACTATGTTTATTGCAAAACATCTAATTAAATTTCCTCCTCTGTTCTGTTCTGCTGATCTTTTAATTAACCTTGAGTCACCTTATCACGACATGATCACATATGCATCGCTGGCGGGATTATTCTTTTTATTTTATACTAGAAATCATTTGGTACGATACTTACATTTTCACCAACATTTGATTAAATATATGGAAACAAATCAATTCTTATTAGTTTCCCCCCATGTTTAATCGTTTCAGATGTTTACGGCAGAAGGTAATTTGAGACGGAAAAAGAGCGCAAATGTTTCTTAGCAAGTTCCTTTGATGTTATAATAGGGAGACGCAATCACCATTGCTAACTTTTATCATCAAAAATATATATGATTACATTTGTTTTAAATTGTGTGACAGTTTTAGTCCTTGTTCAATACTACATAATGATAAAAATGATTTAAAATCAGTATACATAGAAATTATATATAAATCTACTTTTGTTTTGAAAGTTATGCAAAAGAAAAAAGTTGATATTTTTGAATTAACAATATGTTTGTTATTCAAAATTATGCTCTATCCTTAAATCTTAATTAAAATTAAAATAGCGTATCAAATAATGCTTGTATTACTTTTATTTGTTATCTGATTGAACTGAGAAAATGGAAGTACAGATAATATATGAAAATATAAGGAATGCGAAGATAGAAACTTCGTATTACTAAAATTTCTATTGTTTTGCTTTCTCCGATTTTGTAAATTGTTTTGAACCTTAGAAAATACGTAGTTATATGGACTGCATTTGAAACCATTCGAACAAATATAATTATGCTTATGTTAAAAATGTCGTAAAAATTTCCTTTTATGTATACATCGACGTAAATAATTTATTATTATTATTGTAATCGTTATCAGACTAAATCAAATATTTTCAAATATCAATACAATTTTTACCATACATTATATATATAATATCGGTTATTGTATTGAAGTGTTGAAGTCATAGATGGTGTAACTAGCCGAAATGAGACCATTGCTGTGTATATTGTGGATATGTGGAAATAAAATTACTCCTGCATCTCCTGCTTTAATCCCCTTATTAAACTTTATAACGTAAAAAACAACATACCTATTATCAGTAGAATCACGTCTGATATTGCCAAGCTAAATAAATAATAATTTGTAGATGTCCTCATATAACTTGTTCGTATTATAACTATACACGTAAACACATTTCCTATTACACCTGATATAAATATCAATGAATATATCAAAAATAAAATCACAATTATAGGCATAGACCTTCTTTTAGGTCCAATCTTCGCAAACAGAATTTCATCCGAACTTGAAAAGTTCCGGCACAATACTTCCGTCGAATACACGGATGTTACATTTTTCGAGCAGAATACTATTTCCATATCACTAGAATACTTTAATTAAAATATCTTACACAAAAGATTTATTGATATTTAATAAGTAAAATGTTGAAACAAGCACTCGGGGATTGCCAATTCAAATACTATTCTTCTTCATTCCAATTCCCGTAATAAAAACTGAGACTTCTCCGTGAATACAGATCGCCCATCACTATTAATTTCACACTCAAATCAATTAAGGAAGAACGCTTGATTATAGGATTACAATATGAAATAGTTTACACCGCGTCTAATATCAAAAGACAACAACCCATCAAATAAGAGCGCTAAGCACGCCACCGCTTACTCCACTAACAAGCGATGTTACGACCAATAAATTAATGTCGACAGGCAGGTCCGCTTACACGCTACAGAGCGAATCACTACATTACAACAATACAATATATCTTATGCTATAGTTACTTTACTTGAGGATTAGATACATGTGAAATAGGAATATATTGATATAAGAAAATCCATACACGTATAAACATAAAATCAATTGTTTACAGCTACTGATACCTTAATACTTATTTAACTTGTAAGAATATTCGTTTACTTTAATTTTATTATTAGATAAATGACATTTTTAAATGGCATAATTTCATTACAGTAACTTAAAATGAACATTTTCTTGCATATGAGACAGGAGTTTTCTACTATTCAACCAAATGCTAGAACACCCCATCTTACACCGGCTGCCGGTACAGACCGAAATATATAGCTCTCGGGTAACTGTTAAGCAGAAACTCGGCACAGCCTTGTTACCGCCGTAAACATCCAGTTAGTTTTTCTAGTCTGTACTGGCTTCCGGTGTAAGATTATTCTAAAAATGTGAAAAAAAATCAAATGATGTTAAATAATAGATTATTATTTTTTCATTACATTTATATTTTATGACATTTTCTTTTATGTATAAGATGTTAACAGAAACCTTTGTGTGATAATTTCCCTTCTTTACATTTTGTTTCCATTCTGCAAAAGCTTTAAATTGTCTTTAAAGGAGCTATGCATGGAGGAATGTCCCATGTGCATCTGGACCATTTCTGTATGACCGATAGAATATGCATTTGACTTGCGAACTAATGAATGGATGAATAAATGGATTGATGAATGAATGAGTGAAAAAGTGAATGAATGAATGAATGAATGAATAATATGGAATTAAAAAAAAGACAGAAAGAAAGAAAGAAAGAAACAAGAAAGAAAGAAAGCAAAAACGAACGAAAGAACGAACGAACGAATTAATCTAAACTTGTCTTAATCACAGATTCAAGGAATGATAAAAAAATCAACTCAAATGAAAAGTATTTTAATAAACAAACATTAGGAAAGCATTGTCTAGACAATAAAAACTTAAGTAGCTTTAACGCCTTCATTTATCACAATCGTCATATGATCTGCACTAAATATTAAACAAATACATTCCTACGTATATCACTTCCAGTTTGTTTAATTGGATTAAAAACAACTTTTTTCATGTCTGAATAGAATGTTTCCTAGAATATTGGCCTAAGTTTCTTAATTATTTTCCTTAATGCAGCTATTTTGAGGGTTATTATGCCCAATTATTGTCTGCAGACTTCAATCAAACCATGACTCATAGAGCAAAGGTTTATTTAGAAGCATATCTGTAAATATGCTGAGCATGTTTGAAAATAATTAAAATGATCTTTAAATTTGATATAAAGAAACAATCAATAATTTGATACATTTTTAATTTCGTGCTTTGAACCTAAATCAATTAACTATTTGATATTAGTATGTAAATTGATAATTTCACGAAGTTTATATATTATTGTTGTTACTTCTTTAGATCAGTGTTTTACACTTTTAACGTGTTAATATTTCAATTGTTTGATAAGTAAGAGGTTTTATAAGAGAGGTTTTAAAAATAACGGACTTGCTATTTGATGAGTTACGTGCGTATATAATACAATTGTTATTTTGATTAAAAATGAATATGTACGTGTTTATACAATAAGTAATTTGAAGAGTGAGATACTTGTATAGTGAACATTTTTATTTTTAATCTGTGATGTACGTGTTTTATGAAACTGTCATTTTGATGAGTAAGTTACGTGTAAATGACATTTTGATTTGAGCCGCGCTATGACAAAACCAACATATTGGGTTTGCGACCAGTATCGATCCAGACCAGCATGCGCATTCGCGCAGTCTGATCAGGATCCATGCTCTTCGCTATTACTTTCTCTACTTGTAATAGGGTTATGGATCCTGATCAGACTGCGCTAATGCGCAGGCTAGTCTGGATCCATGCTGGTCGCAAACGCACATTGTTGTTTTTGTCATGGCGTGGCTCATTTCTTGAATAAGGAACGTGTAAAATGATAAGTTAATGTTATTTTGATGAGTGAGGTATATTCTGATTTTATTGACCTGTCAATTATGAATACATTACAGGACTCATTTAAATATTCGATCCCACTTCGGTTTGGTCCGTGTAGTTTACGAAAATTAATGTGGAGTATATTAGTCATGGATTGAAAGTCACACCAGCTTAATGTGAAGGTTTTCGTTAATTCACAATAGCACAGTCGGTTAAGAGAATGCCTGATAATTGAGAGGTCTGTGGTTCGATCCTTACTGTTGCCACTAGTACTCTTTCTTTATTTTTGCAGTATATTTTAATGGAACAGATTTGTACTGTGTTTTACGGCATTGAAAAGACATTTATTGATTTTACCGTTTAAATTTTTTAACACGAATTCTTAAAACATGTTATTTAAATGAGTATAGACATAACAAAATTAAGTAAAATATAATAAAACAAAACGAACAATATAAAATAATCATATATAGCTTCAATAATGTTGAAAGAATTAATAGAAAAAAAAAACATGGACCAACGCGGTCTCGAACTTAAAACACGTGTGGCAGTTAGATTATAAACTCATGCTTTACCCTATTGCGCTATAACGCTGAGTGCGCTTAGTTTATCGATACAAATTAAATCAAATTCCATCGTACAGCGTACATCTCACGGAACTTACAGATTAATATACTGTGTGCATCGACAATGTAATCAGTATGTAATTGACAGGTTGATAAAACCAAACAATACGTCTTTATTTTAACTGTTTTTTCGTGAGTAAGATAATTATTTTTTTCGTAAAATACGTGTATAATTAAACTGTTGATTTCATGAGTGAGGTACGTGCACGTGTATAATGGAATTATTATTTTGATGTCTAGGATACGTTTATATTATTGAACTTGTTATTTTGACGCATAAAGTACGTGCATAAGTTTTAAAATGTCATATTAAACATATTTTGCCTGTGTGTTTTTAACAATACGAAAAATATTGAAAAATATCAAACATATTAATATTCTTAAAGTGCTTAAATTGAAAAATACATGTAAATGTCAATTGTTTTCAAGCAAGTGTGATAGATATTTCATTGTTGGTATTTCCTCTGTTCACATAATCTGTGTTAGTTTATATGCACGTTTCTTATAACAAGAACACACAGCACTTAATAAGTAAGTTCTCGTGACACTTCAAGAACCATTTCTTGTACATCTATTTGTCCGATGAATTGAAGGTAATAGTGTTACACTAGACGTTAGTCTTTAGTATGGAAACATCTTATTCTTATTTTTATAAACAAAGTACCGTTTTATCTGAGTATATTATCAGAATGTGGAATTGTTTATTTGCGTTTGTTATGTACGTCAGTAGGATACATGACATGTTCATTTCTGATATTAACAAGCAATACAGATTTCAGACGATGACGATTTCTGATATATGGAATGCTAACAGTGATGCACTGTATATGACTTGCGATTATTTACATTTCATTTCATTCTTAGGTCATTCACATTAACAGCGTGATTGTGCGATATAAACAATTTTTACATCTCGCGTCGGCGAAAACTCGTCACGAAAAGTACTGGGAGGTATAGATAGGGAAAGTAACATAAAGTAGGTCATATGTCTTTTTCCGTCGGGTTTTACTCTGATTAAAATCTCAAAAAAGGGAAAAAAAAATGAAGAGCTTGGAAAGTACTGCCAAAGATTATCAAATTTTCTATAAGGTTTTTAAATCAAACCATAATAGTATATTTTAAAATGTTTTGTCCAGTTTCCGACAGACCCACATCTCAAAAAAAATTTATAAAACATTAAGTAAAGACAAACCTAAAAGAAAAGGGAAAGCACAAAAAAAGTTTTTTTGGGGTAAAATTAAGCCCATTTTAAATAGACAAAGCGCAGACTAAACAAGACGTCAGTGACAATTTTTCGCCTCATAAGGCCAATTTCATTTTGGGGAAATTTTGAAAAAACCGGACAGACAGACGGAATGCACAACTAGATTTTGTACTGATCTTTCTGAAAGGTGGAAAAAAATTGACCAGCTTTTTATGAAAAAATACCGGAAAGTTTTTTGTGTTTTTGGAAACACACAAAAAAAACCCCTTTTTTATCAAGGCCCCATAACCGGGCCAAAAAAATCATTAAAAACCAAAAAAAACCCCGGCAATATCGCAAACGACAAAACAGATCAATTTTTGTAAATTTCATTAAAATTGCATTAGGGGTAAAAAAAATTAGTCCGGACAAATTTTTAAAAATAAAAATTTTTAAAGGCCATAACTCTGAAAAAAATATTAAAAGGGGAAAATGCGCCAATATGCACAACAGATTTGGGGACTGACATTCCGTAATTTTTGGATAAATTGTCCCTGAGTTTTTGAGGAATCCGGACAATTTTTGTGATGGACGGACGACAAGGGACAGCGTCAGAAGCGAGGGAGAATTTTACCCCTAATTTTTCGCCACTTCTAGAGGCGACAAAATTCTTTTAATTCTTTAAACATTGCGTTCAAACCTAAATAATAGCTTTTTAAACCTTTAAAAATTGGCATTTTACCTTTGAAACAAAAAAAATATATAAAAAGTACAAATTTTTATTTTTTCAAATTGCCCGGAAAATATAAATTTTTTTCCTATAAATACAACAAATACAAACAAAAATCAATTCAATTTATCAAAGGCTGCGTTGATTTTGAACAAAATTTTTTTTATCATTTAAAAGTTTTTTTCGGGGATTTTTTAAAAAAGAAAATAAGCGCTGAACAACGGTAATGAAAAAATTAATACAATTCTTTTCGGTTTTTTATAAACAAAAAAAACATGGGAAAAATTAAATTTTTTGAAAACTACCAAAAAGAAATCAAAACCCTATTAACCTTATTTGATAAAAGCGTTTTTTTTTAAATACACCCCCTTTTTAAAGATTTTTTTTTCCCCCTCGGTTAATGAAATGAAAAATCAAATACATACAATGTGCGTGACAATGGGAAGTGTTAATCATGTGTGATTTTAGTTATCTTATAGTAGAA